TCCAGGGGAGACCTCTTCTTGGGCTTGTCATTTCAACTCATTTTCTTTCCTCCTTTCGGTGTACGATGATCTGGTTTGACTGGGTTGAGAGTGGATGCGGTTGTGAGTTTTTGATATCCCATAGGCCTAGTCACGGGTTATGCTTGGATCCTCACCATCTCATCCCTAGCTTCTCATGAATCAATCGTTCATCTAAGCATCATTGGAGGAAGGTTTCGATTTGAGTTGGTATTCCCATTGGAATGACCTCTTTGGATTAGCCAACACTTGTTTTATTTCATTTCCATCAAAAACACAAATCACCACCAAACTCAAAACTTAAAAGATTTTACACTTTCCTTTTTGAAAAAATCACCTTCACAAACTTGAACTTCCTTCACTGAGGAGACGACCTTGGAATACTCTTCTAAGTAAAATATGACACTCAAAAGACTCCTTGCGCTTGGGGAGCACTTTTGTACACACACACACTTTTTGTGCATTTACACATCACATTATCATCATTTCATTTTACCCCATCTCCTTGCCCTTTCTTTTGACATCACCCATAGGAGAGTGACACTCCCCTTCATCCATAAACTATACAAGCTAAAAGGTGATGTTTAGAGGTTAGTAAACTACAAGGAATTTTGTCAAGCACTAAGTAACCACAATATTTATAAAATCAAAATAATAAGATTTAACCCTAAAACACATGAAAACATCCTTTAAATAGTAAACAATAATCTGGAAATCCTAATTACTCAAGGAATAATTAAATTACGAAATAATGCAAATAAACCCAAAACTGGAAAAACTTCGGAAGGTCCAAACACATGTTTCCAGGACTTGGAATTCCTTCCTTTCCATACGTAGACCGTGTCATTCCCCTCCACTTGACGAAAACTCGCCTATGAGTAGTCACTTGGCGCCACAACAGGGTCTGCATACATCGGACCAGCAGCATGGAAGGGATAAAGATCAGCCACATTAAATGTTTGCGAAATTCCCATACTGGCAGACAAGTCCACCACATAAGCATTATCATTGATCTTCAGCAGAATGGTATAAGGACCATACTTTTTTTGTTGCAACTTTTCGTAAGTACCAATAGGAAACCGCTCCTTGCACAAGTACACCATCACTTGATCCCTTCCCTCAAAAGTCAGCTTTGATGATGTTTGTCAGCAAGTGACTTGTAACGCGCATTAGGTTTTTCAATCTTCTGCTTCACCTCCACATGCATAGCTTGAACCTCATCTGCCATGTTGGCAGCTATTGCGCTTACGCCAGACCCCTTAGGTAAACTAACTAAATCAAGAGTATGACGAGGACAGTTAAAATAAACAATAGAGAAAGGAGACTTCCTTGTAGCGCTATGTTTGACACTATTATAGGAAAACTCTGCTTATGCCAAAGCCAACTCCTAGTGCCGAGGCTTTTCGCCACAAATGCAACAAATCAAAATTTCCAAAGTATAATTTAACGACTCTATTTGCCCATCAATTTGAAGATGGGTTTTACTGCTAAAGTGCAAAGAAGAATCAAACCGCTTCCATAAGGTCTTCCAAAAGAAACTCAAAAAATTTGTGTTGCGATCAGAAGTGATAGTTTTGGGCACACCATGCAATCTGACTATCTCTCGAAAGAATAACTTTGCCACACTAGGAACATTAGAAGTTTTCTTGCAAGGTATAAAATGCGCCATTTTGGAAAACTGGTCAACAACAACAAACACAGAATTAGCACCCTTTGTAGTTCTCGGTAAGCCAACCACAAAATCCATCGACAAATCTTCCCAAATATTTTCAAGAATCGATAAAGGCGTATAAAGACCAGCATTGGAGGACTTCCCTTTACTCGTTTAACACACATAACACTGCCCCACAAGTTTCTCAACATCACGTCGCAACTTGGGCCAATAATATCGTTGCTTGACAGCAGATAAGGTTTTATCGCGTCCCAAATGTCCAATAAGTCCGCCGCCATGAAAGTCACGAATTACCTTCTCCTGTAAGGATGAAACTGGAATACACAATTGATTCGCATGCATAAAAAATCCATCCTGTAAGTAGAATCCCAACACAGGCACTCCAAAAACACCTATTGCCAAAATTCAGAAAAATCAGGATCGTGCTCGTACAACTCCTTTAAGTACTCAAAGCAAATTATTTCATTACTAACGATAACGAGTAATGATACACGACGACTAAAAGCATCTGCCACCTTATTTTGCACCCCCGATTGATGCACCAGACAAAAAGGAAACTTTTGAAGAAATGTACACCACCGGGCATGCATGTCAGAAGTAATTCGCTTCTGACTTCCTAGATACTTCAAAGCTTCATGGTCAGAATACAACACAAATTCTTTACCAAGCAGGTAGTGTTCCCAGTGTTTCAGAGTTCGAACAACTACAAAGAATTCTTTGTCGTACGTCGTCCATTTTTGCCGAGCCGCACACAACTTCTCATTGAAAAATGCTTTAGGTCCTTTCTCTTGGGATAAAATAGCACCAATGCCCACCCCACAAGCATCACAATGCACTTTAAACAGCTTATCAAAGTTCGGTAATGCACGCATAGGGGCAGTACTTAACTTCTCCTTTATTACAATGAAACTGTTATTTTCTGCCTTGTCCTAATTAAATTTCCCTTTCTTCAAACATTCCATAATAGGCGCTGTAATGCTATTGAAATTTCTGATGAATAGCATATAGAAGGTTGCTAATCCGTGGAAACTACGAACTTCACTAACTATTCTTGGGACATGCCAATCTCGAATGCCCCTCACTTTCTCTTCATCCACCTGTATCCCATCGAAGCTAACTATGAAACCTAGAAAGAGCAATTTATTTGTCATAAAGTTGCACTTCTTAAGGTTCACAAATAATTTATTATGCTGCAAGACTATTAGTACCTCACGTAAATGCAAAAGATGTTCCTCTTCGGATTTACTGTAAATCAGGATATCATCAAAGTAAACAACAACAAATCGCCCAATAAATGGTCTCAATACCTGATTCATAACACACATGAAGGTGCTAGTTGCATTACTTAAACCAAACGACATAACCAACCATTCAAACAACCCATCTCTAGTCTTGAAAGTTGTTTTCCACTCATCTCCTGGTTATACACGGATTTGATGGTAACCACTGCGCAGATCAATTTTGGAGAAGACCACCGAACCATGCAACTGACTGAGCATGCCATCCAACTTCGGAATTAGAAACTTGTACCCACTGTGATTTTGTTGATTGCCCTGCTATCCACACACATATGGCAACTACCGTCAGCCTTAGGTACCAATAAAGTGGGAACTGCACATGGACTCATGCTCTCTCGTATATGCCCCTTTTTTAGCAAATCTTTCACCTTTTCTCGCAATATCTCAGTCTCCTTCGGGCTCATCCTATAATGAGGCAGATTTGGCAAACTAGCTTGATGAATTAAATCCATCTAGTGTTGTATGTCTCTCATTTGGGGGAGTCCATTCGACAGTTTATCTGGCATAAGATCACGAATTCAGCCAACAAAGGCTTGACTGCATCTGGTACAACAACTCCCTTCGACTTCTCCTTCATCACGCCTTCACAACCATACAAAACACGCTTCCCGTCTCCTTTATATCTGTCAGTAGTTCATTGTGGGTGTGTACTATTGTTAGGAATGCCTCCCCTCCACTTTAGAAGCTGTGGGTTGGGCATTTTTTTTAGTGGCAGCAAAGTATATCATACAACATCTTTCTTAATTCGGTAAATATTTTCTTTTCTCGAATGCTGTGCATTAATGCCATACTACCATGGCCTTCCAAATAAAATATGACAAGCATCTATATCTATGATATCGCAATAAACAATATCTATATATTTGCCAATTGAAAATAGGACTTACAGTGTTCAACTACTTTAATTTTGCTAACAAATTTAATCCACCCAATTGAGTAGGAGTAGGATGTTTCTCCACAGGTAAATTCAACTTCTCAATGACCTTTCTATCGATAATATTTTCTTGGCTACCACTATCAATGATCAAATCAAAAGTCTTACCAAGAATGACACATCTAGTCTGGAACAATTTGTGGTGCTGGTTTTCTTCTGTCGGTTTCGGAGACAAAAACAATTTCCTCACCACGTACACTTGTTCTTCTACCTCATACTTGTCATCTTCTCCTTCAGCTTCAAAAAAGTTTTCATAATCCTCATTATCTTCATTCTCATCATCATGGTTAATGATGCTCGCGGTATGCTTTGACAATCTGCCGGTGCATGTCTTGATCTGTTGCACTTATTACACTTATCCCCATAATTTTTGGCATAGGGATTATGTGCTTTGTCTTGCACCATCGGCTACTTTCCTTGGGCCTTTTCAGTCATAGCCCGATCACCACGTGGCCGTCCTTGATAATTCTGGGAGTTTGGAAAATAGGAACCTGTCAATTGTTCCACCCACGACTCTTATCCCCAAAATTTTGTCCTCCTTCTAAATAATATCTATGAACAGGTTCAGGGTGAGGTCTCTACTGTAGTATAATTTCAGCCTTCAAGGCCCAATTCCTGGCTTCTTCAACACTAAGTATGGTCTGCACTCCAATTTTCTCTTTAATTTCACATTTCAGTCCTCAAAATACCTGGAAGCTTTTAGAATTTTTGACTCTTGTAATCCACTACGTTTTGTTAGTCTCTAAAACTCTGTTGTGTACTCATGGACGAATTTATTGCCCTGAAGACACCACTGTAATTTTTGAATTCATAATCCAATGGCAAGAATTGTTCCCTTAGCATCCTTTTCATCCGACCCCATGATGTCACCGGTACCATTCCTTCTTCAAGTGGTCTGCACGTTCTTCCACCATATACCGTCAGCCACTTTTAGCTTATAAGCCACCAATTTCACTTGTTTATCCTTTGGGGTTAAAGCAAAATCAAAGAACCTTTCTACTTTGTATAGCCAATCCAAAAACAACTCAATATCAAGTGTCCCATCAAAAGTGGGAAGATCCACTTTAATTCGAAAATCCTAATTTTGGCCCCTAAGATCGTATCTAGCCCAGAACTGGCTACCACACATCATAGCCTGATGATCAGGCTCCTCATATGCACCAAACTCCTCTTTATCATCATCAAAGTCATTTCTCTTACGTTCCTGCCCATGTGCCTGATGGTTGATACGTAGCCTATGATCCCCACCAGTACTACGATTATCATCTTGATGCATGTCGACCCTAACAGCTCCAATCCTTTCGGTTAGCACATTGACTGCTATTGCTAGATCACCTGTACTAACATCCAACCTTTTTATTCTACCAATTAGGGTCCCAGTTGTGGCCTCTAGACTCTACAATGCAGTCTAGATGACCGTCATCCCCTCGTCGTTACAAGGAGGTGGGTTGCCTTGCACACTTTCAACAACCATAAATTCACAGGCTAGAATTCTTGCTTTGATACCAACTGACATAGCAAAAGGCTAATAATGAATAGAAACAATCAGAAGAATTAAATCTATGTAACTTTGCAATCACAAGAATTCACAAAGTTGGATGAATTGATTTAGTAGCCACAATGTTTATAAAATCAGAATAATAAGAGTTAATCCTAAAACACATGAAAACATCTTTTAAATACTAAACAATAAGTTGGAAATCCTAATTACGCAAGAAATAATTAAATTACGAAATAATTCAAATAAACCCAAAACTGGAAAAACTTTGAAAGACCCAAACACATGTTTTCAGGCCTTTTTGGGATTTTAATAGTGGCCTTCATGGCCAAAGGCAATATGTCTAGTAGGACTCCTTGTAAGCTTCAATTTGATATATTATGTGCCACATAACTCCAAACAAATCAAAAGTTATGGTCAAAACAGTGTCAACCCTTCTTGGACTTGGATTTCCTTCCTTTCTCTACGCGGACCGTGTCATCACCAACTCGGTAAGAGTAAGTCAAGTGGGGGAGCGTCTGGAGAGATTTTAGTAAATCAGTAACAAATATCCTAGATTGATGGAGGGTGTGCCACCTTGCATCGTCAATCAAGGAAACCCAAATAAAGGGAGGCTCTATAAAGGGATGCAAGGATGCAAGGTGAAAGGGACACAAAATTCTCTATGCATAATAATTCTTTGTATTCAAATACTGACTTAAGCATCGAAGTGTCTTCGACTGAAACGCTTCGGTCTTGGACAGTTTGTTCGTTTTGCAGGAGACAAAGAGAAGGACTACGAGTTCGAAACTAAAACATCCCTCAAGAGAGGTAAATCCACATTTTGCCTCTTACAATTACCATCTAGAATACAAAAGGGTTTCTGTTTTCAGTCATCCTTTTTTTTTTTTCCCTCCGGACATACAGTGCAAATTGTGTATTGATATTGCTTAGGCCTCGAGTGACTGCACTGAAGCTGTTGTATCAAATGATTTTCTCCTGACCAAGAGGCATGTGATCTTTGAAGTATGAGCATGGGTATTGTTAAGACTGCACAACAAAAAGTCAGGCCTGTGGAGTGTGAGGTTTAAGTGATCCTCCCCAACAACCAGCGCGGTGGCATCAAGCAGAACATGCCATGAATTCCGATGGGCTTCAGAAACCCAATGCATGGAATACCTTGTCCCATTTTCCTCTGCAGGAAAAGAAAATAGTCCCTTTGGGCTATGCTTACACTTCCTTCTGAAGTATTGGCTGAGTTGTGATCCCTTGATTCTCAAATCTAGCCAAGTCTCTGGTGCTGAGATCACTTTCGACTCCTTGTAATTCGCAAACGCCCTAATGTAATCGATTTCTTCCCCAAGAATAGTCATATAGAAGTTCCCCCTGAAAAATGGGTAGCTCTCTCCAACTAACATCATTGCATCCTTGTAGTTTTGAGTGAAGAGAACAAGATACTCCTCATCAGGTAGTCCACAATGGTTCAAAACCTTGTTTCGAGCTTGAATTTCAGGGATCGAGATGAAACTCCCTAGAAAGGAGGATTTCTTGGTGAGCACATCAAGCAGTCTTGATGGTTCCAATTGAATTTTGTTTAGATCAGGCAGGTTGTTACCAAACGAGGGTGTAGCTGACTCTCTAAGACTACCTCTAGGTGACTTTCTTTTGTCATCGAGCGGCTCTTGAGGCTCTTCTTTGATGCATAGATCATAGAGGTCAGTCTTTTCTCCTCCTTCAACCAGAGCATTAGAATACTCTGGGTACTTTGCAAGTGCATATTGCTCAACATATTGCATCTCTGTAGGTGTGATTGGGCCTGACCATCTCAGGTCAAGACCATGGAGTGTTGATATGGCTTCGGCTACTATGTGTGGAGGAATTACTGTATGTGCTTTCTGTTTCATACCAGATCAATAAAAGGTCAAACCTTGATATATTAAGTGAATTTTTTTGTGGAAACCCAAGAAAGATACATAGAAGATAGAGTGGAATTCACCTTAAAAACCATGCTGCTTGGTCGGCCATCTTGAATTGATGATTTTGGTATAGAAGTGAGTAGTGATTTTCTCAGATCTCCTTCCATGGTTGCCTGATATGTGTAATTAATGTTACAATTCAAGTTGTGAAGCTTTTGGCTACGAAACTTCATATAAAAATTACTCTTAGAGATTTGAAGTGCGGTAAATTTAGTCGTTTTGAGTTTGGTAAATACTTACCTTACTTCCTGCCTGCAGAATTTTCCGCTCTTCAGTGTTCTTTCTCATGATAATCTATGCTCTTTCCCTCATGAACAGAAGGAAAAAAGTGGGAGAAAAAGAAAAATTGGAAAACTCTGTTCCTGAAGAAATTAACTGAATTCACTACTAGATTAAGAGGAACTGAATCAAAGATGAAGGAAGAGAGATAAAATTAGGGGAGCAGATTCATCCGACTTTATTTTGCAGAATTGGATGTGAACTGAGAGGTATTAAGAGAAGCTGTTGAGACAAAACTGGGTTAGGGATGAAGAATAGACCAAGCCAGTCTCTACCGATACATTTCTTGTTGCAGAAAGGGATCCAAATTTTAAAAAAATGGAAAATTATAGATTGCCCCCCCCTTTTGAAAAAATTATAGGGATCCAAGTTTGTTGGGCCATTTTACTTAAATTTAAATTTGAGTCGGGATTAGAAATACCCAAAGGGTTGAAGAATATTTTTAGGTGTTTTTTTTTCACCCAAATTTAAATTTGGTTTAAAAAGGTATAAGGGTCGGAGATGCCCTCCCTAACTTGTACCCTAATACAAAGTTAGAAGAAGTTATGTATACAATTTTCAAACTTTAATGCCATTAGCATAAACTATAGGAGGCTAAAATATAATTTACACTTAAACGAAACAAACAAAAGTAGTCTCAAGGAACAAGGTAGGCCGATGATGACGACAGCAATGTTCGGCAGCCGGGAATCACGATATATTAGCTCATATTCACACCCACAACCATGGTTTAGTTCGAGTTACCGAATTTGGACTCGGCGAGTTTACCAGGGTTACTTTTATTAATTATATACTAGGGATAACTCGTACCTGAATATACGGTATAATATGAATGATTTTAAAAGGGGTATTGGAGGTAATTGGATAAATCTATTTAAAATCGTCGAATAGACTTATTGAAACTTGTAATATTTTATATTATAGATATTGAGCATATTCCTTAATGTTGCTAACAACGAGAATAAGGATTTATTGTTACTTTGGTTTGGGTATTAAGTAGTCAGATTATATTAAATTAATTCAATAATAACTTAAAAATTAAATTTAGATCAAGTTATAATGTTCAGTCTTAATGCTTTTATGAGTACCAACCCAATAATAAATATTCATCTAGCGCCTTATACTTGGAATAAACCAATATCATATAATAGGTGATATTGAATGAGACGTGATTAATACTAATATCCAAAATTACAAGAGTACTTTCTACACGCTAGAGAGTTATATATTGGTGTACAATGTTTTTGTCTTTTTAAACTTAATTATATCATATACTAATCTCTCATCGAAACATGATATTGATATTAAAACAATGGACTCACACTTTAAGAAGACAATAAAATGGTTGATCAATTATCACTGCCACTATGGAGTACAATAAAAATAATTATTCAACTTAAGGGTGGTTCAAATAGTAATAGAGACGAGTTGTAAACTCAAACATTCTGAATATGAATTTTGAAAATATCTTGTGATCAGATAATAACGGATTTATCGTTCATGAATATCTAGTCCTAGCGTAGGTAGTCTATCTTTGACCGAACTGTGAAAGGGATTAGTCAGGTGCCTATAAACTGTTCCGGACACCTTTAACCGCCGAACTAAAAAAAAACTATTCAACCACATCTCATACTATACCTGAATTAACCATGCCTTAATTGCAATTATAGCAGGACTAAGTAAGATTTGGGCTCACTAAGGCAAGCAAAGAGTCAATAGTGAGTTTGAGAGTTACTTTAACCCTTGATTATGATCATCAATCTAAATCTAAACTAAGCTCATACCGATTAGAGGATTGGAGAAATAAAGTAATACTGGAAATTACAATGAAACGTCACCCTGTTTTGAATAGAAAACGACCGTTTGAGGGCAATTGGAGGGAGTTTGAGTGGGGCCAGTTTGGTGGTATATAGTTTATATGCGGTATTTGGTGGGTGGTTTGGAAGACTTATGTTGTAAATGGCATTAAGTCAGAATGGCATATAGCCGAAATTAGTTTGAAATTCTTGTTGACTCAAAAAAGCTCATCTACACTAATAAAATACTACCTAATTTGAATATTCCAAGTTAGAAAACCACCACAACAGTACACAATTCATATATATATTACTTTGTCTGACATTAAACTCGAAAGAACGTATAGAGGCCCAACAAGAAAGAAGCAAAAGTTTAAAATGCATGGCCAATAACCTAGGTCAATGTATTATTATGATGGATGATAATTACTCATATGCATAAATTTTTCCAATCGGTTGGGTCAAAAAGTGGCATTAGCTAGAGAGTGAGATAGAATAGAGTGTACACAGTGCATGAGACTCGTTATTGTGAGGTTTGTGGTGGGTTAAGATGTACACAGCCTTACCTCCGCAAGCAGAGAGACTATTTTCAAAACTTGGATCCGTGATTTTCAAGTCACAATGGAGCAATCATATTATTACGCCAAGCATTGTGATTGTTAGAAAATGCTTTCATGTTTTTTACAAAGGAATAAACTTGGTGGTTAACCGCTATGCTAATCTAGTTAGATTCATTCTCGAGAAGAGTAACGAGCGTGGTCAGGGGTTTCATGATCCCACTAGTGAGAGTCTATTGAAGAAGTCTTGGAGCGATCTCCTTTGCCCCACCCTTCTTTTGAAAAAAAAAATAGGCTTTTATAAATTCTATTAAAGATGATTGGTTGTGTTAGGCTTGAAGGTGTGTTGATACCGGAAAGGATTTTTATTCAAATATTAATTGGGCGTTTAATAGCAGATGATATCTATATGGGTGCACGATGCATTGCCACTCAAAATCAAGATATTGGGATTGGACTTGTCAATCGATTCATAACTTTTTGAACACAACCAATACCGAGTTCATCTACAGAGCTAGCTCAAGTGTTTCTTTCAAAAACACGTTCAGCTCAAGTGTCTTAAGAAAATCAATCTTGTTGCTAGTTCAATTACGGGTGTTAGTACTCTTGGTTTCGTCGTAGAAAGTTTTTTTTTACTTTCCAATAGTCATAGTCTAATTCTTCTACACGGCTCATTCAAATAAGAACTGCAGCTTGGCTCACTTCTAGCTTACTTAGCTCTAACTCGAAACAACCAACTCAATTCACCTACGCAAGAAAGAGAAATAGTTTACTTGCTTGGTTGCTTAGCTCGAACAACATTAATTTTCTATTTTTGTTGGAAGTTTGTGTTATTAGAGATTGCTTTAAGGGTGCATTATGGTAATAACATTGATGCTTCATAGTGTTGTAATTTTTATTTTTTTGCAAGGTGTTAAGGAAAAGGTCAACCAACGAGAAAAAATCCAGGAAGAATGAGGTAGACTGAATGCTAGGTTATTGTTATTATAATTATCATTGTCACCACCATCACCACGGCCACAATTAACCCCATCAATCCCAATTGCCTCCTTTGACCACCATTGTGTGCACTAGGTAAATCATTATTGAGTTAAATTTCATTTAATTGAACTGAGATGAAAAATTAGATAGAAGGAAATGAAGGAACTTAATTTAACTTTAGAAAGCAGAGAAAAAATAAAATTTCGATTTGTGCTACACCAATGCCTCCAAACACAGGCAATTTCTAATTTTTTGATAAAGTGTATAATTCCTGAAAATGACTTAAATTGCTAACAACACCCATAATGATTCCAATTGTCCTTTCTCTAGTCAACATGTTTAGGGTATCTCTAACTCTAATTCAAATTTAGACTCGAATTTAAATTTGAGTAAAAAAGTCTAAAAAATTTACTCTAACCCTTGACTCAAACTTATACCAAATGAAGAGAAATTTATTTTTTTACTCAAATCAAGGGAGAGTTAAATCTTTAATAGTAAAATTTTACTATCTTTTAAAGATCCAATGGTCATCCTTACTCCCATTTTAAATTTGAGTCTCTCCTTATTTAAATTTGAATTTGTTCATTAGAATCTTTTATATTAAATCAAACTTTTTTCTCAAATGTTAATTTAAATTGGAGTAAGAATTTGAGTCATAGTTGAACATGCTCTTACGACCTAGAGGATTGCAGAGAAGGTGCTACTGTACAACGGGTTCGAATGTATATATGAAGGATTTATGTATGTATAGAGGCCGAAAAAGAAAAAAGTAAAAATTTAAAATACAAAAACAAGGTATTTAAAAAATGACCTTAAAAAAAAAAAGCTATAAAATGGTATCATTAAACCATCAACTTATTTAGAAGTTTAACAGACTCGTGCTTCAAGACACCCGTCACTCGAGTGACTAAATTTTATATCAAACACATTCAAGTATTATAATTATCGAGGCATTAATGAGACTCGAAAAAAAACCCTTCAAGATCTGTCTAATGGAATTAGGGGCCTAAAGTAAAATTTATAAATTAGGTCATATTAATATTTAATAAAATAATAATAATAATAATAAATATTAAATATTAAATTACATTCAATTGAAATATATATTTTTACTTTTCAATTCGAGATGAGAAAGTACAAATTAAATTGTCATTTTAATTTTTTTTTTGTATATCATTCTCAATAAATAATATTGCTAAATTATTTACAGATTTCTAATAATGAGTTTTATTTATTGAGCTTAATTTTTTTTAATTGGGTTATATTATGTTGGACTTTTTTGCTAAGCCTAAACAAGTTACGAGTGTAAAATTTTGACATGGGTTGTTAATACACGCAAAAATTTAGGCCCTTCTATCTAGATGGGGCTTAAAGTCCAGACTTTAACAACCTAATGATTGGGCCGACCCCAAACTCCCTACTTCGATATCATTTTAAACTCTCAGGACTCGTTTGGTAAATGTATTATGAAGAAATTAGATATTGGATTGTACTATATTTTATTTAATCTGGCCTAATAATTTGTTTGGTAAGTAAATTTGATAGCGTATTAATTTTAAAAACGTATATTAATTGTATATTTATCATATATTTTTTGTACGATAAACTTTTATTATAAAGATATTTTAATAACACCAAAAGAGGTGATATTATAATTCAACTCAAACTTATTATTATACACATTTACTATTATAACGTCAAACTGATTAAATTAAGTTGTCATTTGATGGCGTAAATCAACGTGGATGAGCAAAAGGTGCAAGTAACGTGAGATGAGCGTAAATCAAAGCTACAAGGCGCTTGTGTGATGTTGTAATAAAAAATTTGAGGGGATTAAGGGGTGTACATAGTAAAAATATAGTGGTTCACCGGTTCAGGAGCTCGGCTAGTCCATTTTTCAATGGAGGTCCTTGCTCCTT